GTCTGATCTGGTCATGGGGAACGACTACTCCTTTCGAGTGTTCAGCAAAAACATCTGTGGGCTCAGTGACGAGCCAGGCATCAGCAACAACACTGCCATCATTACCAAGACAGGTAATGAATTCCCTGCAGAGCACCGTGCCCTGTAACCTGATAGTACTGCTTTTGATGCCCAAGAACATCTAACACATGCTGAGCTGTAAGCCACATTGTATTCAGTTGAAACATTCGCTGAGCATTATATGAAATCGGTACGATACTGAAAATAGGAATGATGATTCACACTGCACATGCAAAAACTGCTAAAAATACAAACTGTAATTTTAAACTGCAGAACAGTAATGCTATCAGAAGTATTGTGGTGAATTGTTGGCTGCAATTAATTACTTGAACATCATTTAAGGGAAAATTAATACACACTGATTATGCTAAACAGAAATTTTCTTTGACAGAGTGTTAAATAACATCTAATACTGGCCTCTGATTACAAAATCAACGGGCATAGGAAATTAACACCTGCCACCAGCCAAATGCTGCTACTGTTGTTGTGTTGTTGCATTTTCTTACTCTACCAGAAAATTTGGCAGACACCCAGCCAATCTCTTTTGTGTTCCAAGGAACAGTCTGGCCTATAAAATTGCAAGGATTATTTATCATAGTATCCATCTGACCTCAGGCTGAATCAAAAGTCAGTTTACTGTCTTGCTAATTCAAATGGTAATCCGCCAATTTCATCAATTTGTTTGACAATATTAAAGCAAAGCAATTCCAAAGCAGCTGAAAGTTATTATAGCAGGCTACAAACAAATGATTTCAGACTATGTTTTACATTGCTTGAACAGATTTTGCAACACAAACCACAGAAACTAAACTGACTGGTTGGTATGGTGTGGGTTCAATGTTCAACTGAGACAAGCCTGTCAAAATAAAACATTTTGCACAACTCTACTCATTGACCAGATGCTTCTAGCTGTTGTTAGAGGCCATTTATATTTTCCTTATATACAGTCTATACTGATCTGTCATGTGACTGATCACACTATCATATTACTACTGGTTATATAAAACTATATTATCACCATCTTTTATTAAAAATGCAATATGCAAAACACCATTACTCCTTTACTTACAAATTTAAAAGAAAATTAATGTGACCATGATACAAAGCATATAATAAACATACAACCTCACATACTTCATATAAGGAAAATAAAATCAGCCTCGGGCATCACTCTGTTGATAGCAGGATAATTGAAAATAAAAAATATGAATAAGGTGTGGAGTTCTGGATAAATGTTATGACTTGTAAAACTTCTCCAACTGTGCAGGGTTGGCATACAACCCCCCAGCCTTCAAAGAGAGGGACATGAACTGCTCCCCCAAGTTCACAGTGCCCCTGGTGGACAGAGGTGTATCTGCAGGCTACACCACCGCTGTTAGCTGTGCCGTGCATGTATAAGAGAAACTAGGTAACTGCTCAGTTTTCAGGCCTTTGATTGATCATTTCCAATCCAAACCCACTATGTTTTTATTTTTTCCCCCCCCCCCCCCAAAAAAAACAGCCAATTAGTTTTTGATGCTAATCCGCGAAAATTTTAAAAGATCTCTTACAACAAAAAGGCGAATTATTGCCTATCAATATGTAAATTTTAATTCTGATCTGGATGGAGGTCCAACTTAAAACTGGAATTATAAATGTGTAAAACAATAAAAAATGAAAAAAAAAAACCAAGCGTATCGCATGTCTGAAGTCATTATGAGGGAAAGGAAAACAATGCTGGACTTTGATTTTGCATAGAAACCTGTGGAATATACAGCAGGCAATGCCCCAGTTATGTCTTGCAAATGAGCATACTACCACTGTAGCATTGCCTGTCCTCTATACACTTTACCTGCATTGGCCCCTGTTAGCTGTGCTGCAAGAGTATGCCACAAATTTCATGCTTAGTGCTTTTTAAAGTGAGGCTACAAGTTTTGAGAGGCAAACAGTGACTGCAGACAGTTTAGAACAAGAGGTGGAGCAGAAAGATCTGTGAACACGCTTTTTTTTATCCAAAAGAATTGGCAAAGATTTGTCAAGCCGAAATGCTGACCTAATTTCACCTCTCCCTCTTCTCTCACTCTGTGTATATGCTCCCTCCTCCTCTTCTCTCCTTATCCCCCTGCATTTTGCCTCATCCTCCAACACACTGTTCCTCAGCCAAAGATCATTTAAATGAAGAACAATATGATCATTATTGGAGACCCCAAGTTCCTCATGCAGAACCACCAGGGTGTGTTGACTCTGAATATCCATAAGGCAAGCCTGTTAAACGGAGGCAGATACTCCTGCAGGGCCATCAACAAACTTGGCCAGGACAAGGGAGAGCACAAGCTAGAGGTTAAAAGTATGCTTTCTATAACACTATAGTTTGAAAGTAGAGAGCTAGCACATGACCTGGGCCAGGGCAAGTCTCTCTGTGACAATCTTCAGTAAAGCTCAGCTTGACAAATCTCCATCAGTTTAATGTTTTGACTGATCTCTTGTTGTGAAACTAAAGTTGAAATTCAAGCCTGTATATCACTTTATTGTGTATATGATGACTCCAAGTGCTGTAGTGTCTTTAAATGGAATGATTTACCAGCCTCTCACACTGATTTAAATTTCTTTTTTTTTCTCCACAGTTGTGCAAGAGAAAGGAGACGAGGCAAGGAAATGAACGACAGCATGAAGATACAGCTGAACAGAAATAGTAATGGATTATGTATAGCGGGCTAGTCATGAATAAATATGATTAGAATAGATCACTGGTGAAGCTTTAAAACCAATCCCCCTGCCTTCCCTATACACTGGAATTTCACCGCTGCTATGACGAATGCTACATGCCATAAATTCTTACAGCAAGCTGCCACCTTGTCATGCCTTGACTGAGGGATGCCACAGAGTAGTGTAGTGGCACTGCCCCGCTGTGACCACATGCAGATGGATCCTTCTTATCTGTGAAGTGGACCTGTCACTGAGCACACTTATAAAACAGCCTTTCATCCATTATGGCTCCTTGTGTTGTCTGTGTTGTGTCTGGGACATTTTTATAGGTTGGGATGAATTATGATTGTGATGCAGCTGTAGCACTGAAACCTCCACAGTGTGACCAACTGGCTGCACACCTTTGCTTATTTGCCGCGGTGTTGTGGGCCATCAGCCCTGTAATGGTTGAATGGTGAGACCACTATTCAGCCAGGCATGGCTGACATCAAAGAGCCACCAGGATTAAAGGTTCTTATACAGATACGAACCTGCTGCACCCTTCATGCACATATGTGCAGAGGGCACGCTTGTTGGCTTGCAGACATCTCTCTCATACTGCATTCCTCATGACATGACCTATAGTGGTAGGCCTTTACAGATACATGGCTTACACTCATGCACATGCCAACACAAACACACGCCAAATCAGGGCCTCATTAGCATCACACACTAGTGACTAATTAATGCACACATCAACACTGCCCTAATTAGCTCTCCCACGTCATTACTAAGCAAACGAATTACCGCTAATTTACACACCCGCAAAACAAACACAGCACCTCTGCTGGGAGAGTCCGCCGCGGCACACCAAATTAAAGCCTCACCGATGTGCTGCAACCCAGACGTGCTGCGTCCCAAGTGACCCCGCTCTCTCTTACACACACACCGAGTTCTACCGTTTGGCTGAAGAAGAGTTGAAAAAAAGATCATGCTAGAGGCAAAAAGCAGAAGCTCTTACCAAACACACCAGATAATTTGTGGAGTTTTCCTGCTGCAGAATAAATACATCACCTTCCTCTGGGAATGTGAGGGTATCTTGCTGCCCAGGCCTGACCCACAACTGACTACATCAGGCCATGGTCTCATGTCTCTCCAGCAGAGGGGGTAAGAACACAGTGACAAAGACCACAACTGACCATCATTAGCATCTGGTGTATTGATGAGTGGCAGGTTATTAAGAACTATTACAATACCAATGCATCACAGACTGAGGCTCCAAACCTGAAGGATTTCAATATGTGCCAGCCTGAACCTGACTCCTGGCACCTGTCCTGAAACATTCATCACAATAGATTGCATTTCCTACCTTACATTGCTGCGTGTTCTTAAAGATGACTTGAAATAGGGTGAGAGCATAAGTGTCCAGATAAAGCAGGGGATGTCCTCCAGATATCTGAAAGTAGGCCACAACTGGTTGCACAGCAGACCTGCAGTACAGCACAAAGCTTAAATTTTGAACCCTGTCAAGCAGTAAATGACTCTGCAAGTGTATGTGGCTGTGTGTGTTCTTCTGTGTGGATTATATGTGTGGTGTTGATATAATCTTATTGTCAGTTAACCTGAGACACAGCGTGGTGTGTTACTCTGCTGATTGACACATGAAAGCAGCACCGAAGATTCACTGCATGCTACTTTGCATGGAAGTTTGGGGAAAAACATTCTTCAGAAAAACAGCATGTAACCTCGATACTCCACCTGAGCTTTATCCTCTGTTCCTGCTCTCAAAAGTGATGTTCAGTTGCTAAGCAATCAAACTAATTGTATCTACTGGCATCATCCGAGAGCCTTAAGAAACTTTCAAAATATGAGAGGGTGAGATTTGTGTGTGTGCCTCTGTCCTTTTTATGCAGTTTGAGAATGCTTAAGTAGTATGCCAAAAAAAAAAAATTAAGCATTTTATTTTTCCCTCATTCACTATGCCACCACCTTGGGGCCTTTAAGTTTGTTATGTCTAAATGAATAATTAACAAGGGAGCATGGCAGCCCAAGAGTAAACCACTGGCTTCTTCATGCACACTGTATCTATGCTGTAGTCTTTCCAATATTAGAACAGGCCTGCCTCAGACGAGGACGAGACAAAAGAGTGATAAGACAAGTCTTACCACCAGACGAAAGGGAGGCAAAACTGTTAGGGTGCAAGCACTATACATGTTTGTGTGTGTGCTCAAGAAAAGAAAGACAAGAAATAACAGAGAGACAGAAACAGATCTCCTGAAACAGTAGAACGGAGGGAACTATAATTATGCATGTAATTATACATGAAGTCACAGACTTGGAGTGAGAGAGATTGAGTGAGAGAGAAGAGCAC